AAATAACTTCCAATACTATTTTGGGGTTCCTATATATATATATATATATTCATTTATGTATAGTATAGTCTCGCAAAACCCTATTCTAATTGTTAACGCCTCTCTAGCAGTTATTTCCGAAAAAGGATCACAATGGGGGACAAAACCCCACGACGTCGCGAGTCGCGCCTTGCTGCTGCTCGTGTTTTCTCTCGATGGTTTTGACCTGCCAGTACAACTTGTCCAACAATATCGTCGAACATCGTCTTGTACAGAGGCAGCGCGCTTTCTGGCGGCACTGGAAGCCCGATTTGGGCCTACCGACGACAAGGCGCTGTGGCACTTGGGAGTTTCACTCTTGGCGCACGCTTGGGTGTGGAAAAGTTAGCAGCTCACGGCTCACGGTTGATGGAGCATAGTTTTGTATGTCAGACACGTAGATAATCATCAGAGGGGAGAGAATTGTCGGTTTTCTGAGCCCCCAAGCTCTGATCAACAACGCATCCACAACGCCACTAAGCTGCGCGCCTTAAAGATCGAAGCTCGAAAGATGAACCGAGTCCTCTGTTACGTGGATGGCGTGAGTCCTGTACAGCTATATAGCCATTCTATGTTAAGTTCCCACAACCCTTTGCTAGTTAGTCGCAACGGTTGCAGCGGGTTAGACATCTTTGCTAATAATCTAATCCCGTCAGGGTTGCAGGGGTATTTGGCGACTGTGCGTTTAACTTCGGACTTTGGGTTTAAGTTAAGTGCTTGTCGTTGTCTGCTATCTTGGTTCTTCGAAGACATTCAGAATTTTGAAGACATGTCCTTACATACATGACTGTATGAAACAAACTGCCCCCATTCGTTTCTTCTTGTTATCTTGATTCTTCAAACACATGTAGAAGACATGTCCTTAGAGACATGACTGTATGAAGCAAACATGCCACTCCATGTGTCGACATGGACTGAGTCAACACGGCATATCCATGCATGTACGTATATATGTATGTATGCATGTATGTATGTGTTTATGCATGGATGGCTGGCTGGCTGGGTGGATGGATGGACGGACGGACAGACGGATGCCTCTATGCATCTGTGTGTGTATGTGTATATATCTGTAGAGAGAGAGAGAGAGAGAGAGAGAGAGAGAGATAGATAGAGAGAGAGAGAGGGGCAGACAGAGAGAGAGGTTGTTATTTGGGGAGCTTCCGAGCTCACAGCAGGCCCTGCTGATCCTCTTCTGGTGCATCCGAAGGCCGCAGAGAAAGCGCAAAGACTCCCGAAAATTTAGCACTACCTTGGTTTTGGGGCTGCCATGCGCAGGAGGCCTAGACTCGAAACGTGGGGTTTAGGCTTCATGGGGGATGTAGGTGTTTAGGGTTTTAGGGTTAGGGTTTAGGGGGCCTTTCGGCTCCAGGTTTTCAGGGTTTTGGTTTCACGTCGGGCCTTTGGGACTGATGTTGTAGGGGCGCCGTCCCTGGCCTCGGGTGCCGACACAATCCTGAGCTGCCAAAGCCCAAGTCCGGTAAAAGATAGGAGACCTTATTATAGAACCCGCACACGCGGCCCAAAAAACCTTACGGAGACCGAAAAAGGTATAGGTTTTTCGGCGACAGGTAAAAGTATTGCCTTGAATTCCTTGCGAAGCCCACCTTTCCCTTGAAATAGCCTTTACAATCCATCAACCCCAAACCCTAAACCCTAAACCCAAACCCTCAAAAAAAAAACCTCAAACCCTGACACCCCCCTCTCCTCCATCCGGGATGCTCGAGCACGACGTCCTCAGAGAAAGCTCGCAGTTCATGGATGTTTATGGGTCTCAGTTAAAGGCTACGACAAGGTGAGGGTCACGAGAAGGATCATAATCAGGGTAACTAATTATGGCTACTTGTAATAATCCTACAAGCTAACCTTTAAACCCAAGGCGCCGAGCCCAAAACCTAAAGCAACATTAAATCCCAGACCCTAAATCCAAAACCCTAACCCCCCCTGAACAAGTGTTAGGAGTCAGGTAGCCAGGGTCTCCGTTGGAAAGCCTCAGCCCAGAGCCACATAGGAACAGGACCTTAATATTGAGACTACTAAGGGTTCCATAAGGGTATAGTATAGGGGCCTTAGTAATTAGAATAGGGACTGGAGGGTAAGTTAGAGTATTTTTTAAAACAGTATGGAGCCCTGAGGAATAACGTAGGCAAGTATCCAACTAGGCTTAAGTTTCAGTGCTTAGAGCACTGTGTGTTGTGCGTTTTCGTGTTTTAGGGGTTTAGGACTTTGCATGGTGTTTTCGGCGAAGTTGTCAAACGGTCAAGGGTCTAGATGTTGGTGCCGAGTCGTCGGCATTTTGAACCATTCTGAACCCTAAGCCCGACACCACAAAGTTCCAACGCTTCGGACCCGAATGTTTCGGCCTCATCGCTGTGCAGAGCCGTGTCTTGGCCCGGCGTCTTCGCGGTTGGCCTTCTTCTGGCGTTGGCCTCTTCGGCATCATTGTTTGTTTGGACCTCCAAGGCATCGGGTTCAGCGTTTAGGGCGCATGTAGGCTTTTGGGGTTGTTTCGAACGGTGAAAGAGTAGCCGGCACTCCAAGCCCAGCATACCCAACGAGAGCCGCTCCTGCCCTCAAGTGCCCCTTAATGGAGTCCTTAGCGTGGTTCATCGCGTGTTTTTTGAGTATGATAAAGTAGGTGGGTGGGGAATGTGCAAACGTCAGCTTTGTATATGCTGTATAGTGAAAGTCGGGGCGAAGAGAACTCGAGAGTGCCTTAACACCGCTTCAACAACATGCCACTCTGCATTTCTGAAGTTTCCAGCTGAATCCTTGACACAATACAAACGTCCTCACCTTTAAACCAAAATACGCACCATACACTCACACCCAGAAGCCTAAACCTTGAGCCCCAAGCCCCAAACCTTTAGGAAATCCCTCTAAGCCCTATACTCCCCAGCCCTCAAAACCGTAATAAAGACCCTTAGGAAATCCTTCTAAACCCTAAAATCCACACCCTCAACCTAATCCCTAAACCCTCAAAACCGTAACAAAGACGTAACGCCCACTTCTCAAGCCACTGCAAGGTGCTAGGTAGTATTATTAGGGGTACCCCTTAAAGGGTACCCCTTCTGAACCCTACGGTTGGCTCTCTTAAAGGGACGTTATTGAGAGGGTCTATATCCCCAAGGGTCCCCCTAATCCTAGCTCCCAGGTGCTCAAGGCCCGGCGGAAGGAGAAAGCCGACTGATGCAAGGGCAAAAAACGATGTGCTGCTAAACGAGTTGAAGGTTTAGTGTGCTTCTAAACGAGTTGAAGGTTTAGGGTTCAGGGATTAGGGCTTAGGGTAATTAAATGATTAAGGTTTAGGGTTTAGTTTTTAGGGCTTGGGGTTTAGAAATGGTTAAGGTTTAGGGTGTCGCGTTTCCGTCAAGCTTAAATCCTATAAACCCTACACCCTAAACCTTAAACCGTTACCTGTAGGCTTTGGGTTTAGGGCCTGGGTTTACTTGCAAAAACCTCAGTTCCTGCAGGGTTTTGTTAGACTTGGCATAAGGACCTCCTCCCCTACAAGCCTTATACCGCGGAGCCCTATCACCGCTTGGTCAATCCCGGTGCCTCAACTCCTGGAATGGTCGCCACAGCGTCAGCATGATTGTGAAACCCATCCGATACGATGCGCCCTACACACCCAACCCTACAATGCAGTGTTTTAGATGCCTGACCATGTTGGAGTAGGTTGTTGGGGACTTGTATCATGGCTTATATAGCTTATAACATGACAACATTTGCATTTCTAATTATTAGGGCCCCTACATTATGGGGGTTTGGAGTTCACTGCAAGAATCTTCCGGCCTGGAATGTTGCATAGTGTCTTAGGGTTTAGGTTTTTCGGGCAGAGGGTGTATTTCTTGAGCTAGTGTGGTGCAACTCTTGTTTCTGCCGGACATAGTTGCAAGACAATATTCAACTGAAAAGTTGGCCTTGGCGCTGACAAGCCGGCGGTGGTTGTGGTGATAGAAACCGAAACATTGACAATTGTTGACACGGCGATCCGAGCTTATATATATATATATATACATACGGCTTGTAAGCGCGATTCTGTGATATGAAGCGGCTGTCGGGGGGTCGTTGCTGGCATAATCTGTCGGGTGTATGACCTGTAACAAAACAAAGATGAGAGTGGATCTGCCCTAAACCCTAAAACCCTACAACCCTAGACCTTAAACCCTGCAGCCCTACAGCCCTAAAGCCCTAAACCCTATACCCTAAACCCTGAGCCCGAAGCCTTCGACCTTCTCGCTGTCTCGTTGAAACCGTGTAGGCTGCCCGTTCGTGACACTGCCATGGCAAGACAGAGCGGGAAATTTCGAATTCAGATACTGTGTTGCTTCTCCATGTCCTTGCGATAGCCAACTGTTCAGCTCCGAATGTACATTTCCCTAAACCGTAAACTGCTTTCAACCCTAAACCCTTGAACCCTAAGCCCTATAGATCCCTAACCCAAAATCCCCCAAACCCCACATTTCTGCTAACACTCTAACATACTATCGGGGTTCTAAATAGCCGCCAACGCGTGTCAAAAAGAAGCCGCATGATCTCCGAAACCCTTGTTCTGGGGTCTAGGTAAGCCCTACCAGGGACCCCCCCCCTCCGTGCCCGTTCATAGAGTTCTTATGGTCGTCAATAGTGGGAAATTCGTGTATATTAGAGGGTAGTTGCTGTCTAGGCCAGCCCAGGCCCCTGTAAGGATCCAAAGCGTAGATCCCTACTGGTGGGGGGTGTCCCAAAACGGACTTTCCAGGATTCCCAAATTCTGGGCTCTACCTTGGGGGTCTGCGAAGGGGCTTGGGGTTTAGGAAGACAAAACATGCCTGTAACAAACTATCTAAAACCCGTAGAAACCACATCTATCCCCCCAAAAAGAGCCCTTCGGAGCCTGACAATAATTGTCGTACAAGAATAAGCCCAGGACCCGAAACCATAGCCTTCTTTTGTCTCAAACTACACTAAACCCTAAACCCTAAACCCCGAAACCTCAGAAGGAGCTTCCTGACGGCTGGGCCCGAAAGGCAAGTCGCAGCAGGCACGGGTTCCGATGAACCCGTTGTTGTTTGCTGCTGTTGTT